CTTACAAGATTGATAACTGACTGATAATGAATGGCAACGCAAGCAACAATTGATGCGGAACAGGGATTCAGAAACTAAAATTATGCTTATTGTTTGCAAAACAAGTTTGAACAGCTGCTCGTTTTGATACGAATAAAGTTAAAATGAATCTGATGCAATGAGCAGAAAATATCAATTTTTTGGACACTAACAGTTTTTAGCAATAATTTTTGTATTCGCTGCAGAATCTCCAACTTAGTAATCGCATGTAATAAGTAAATCTTTCATTAATAAACTTCTAAAAAACATTTTATGCAAGTAGTTATATGAAAAATTAACCATTATTTATCTTGAATGTTTTAATTATTATATTACAGAAAGGTATACATGTTGGTAAAAGCATTTCTTGTAGCTGTACTGTACTAATCAACAAATAATTATGGTCAGTCATTTTTATCAATTAATTTGTTATTCAGCGTAAAAATAGTTTTAATGTATACTTTAATATGAAAAAGTGAAAGAACAAACTGTATTAAATTGTGTACATTGCAAATAAATTTAATCATTTTCATGTACTGCTTAGAAGTACAATTGTAGATTCTTAAGAAAGATTATATCTGTCAATTTTAGCTAATGCGTAGGATATCATCTCATGCGACAACATTGAAGGAACGTGTGAATACGTCGGATTACCTAGCAACGTGTTGCGATAAAGTACGTTATGTCACAACCATACTAAAAGACACACTGAAGTGCGGCGCTGTACTTATTTCGGATACGAATTATTGTACAAGTGACTGAATGCTTCAATGCTTTAGTTGGTAGATATTTTGTACATCAATTTATTGACAAATAGGAGGCAAAAATGTTGCGCTCTCAAACTTTTTACCACTTTTTATCCATTTAATAAACCGCGAAAGTTCACCAAAGTCTGCGGTGCTTGATTTTTGGCAATAGCGTATACGTCACTCAGAACTGATGCCATGTAAAGATGCTAACTACTTAGTAACAACTGCACGTGATTACAGTAAAGATTACTTTATACTGGTACATCAAAAGGTATCAATATAAAAATATTATGATGCAAATGGATGACAGTAACCTAGAAAGCAACAAAATCAAGTAAATCTAATTCTATATAAAGGATTTTGCCTTTTGAAAAAACAAAAGCATTCAACAGACTGATTGCTAAGAGTCTTTGAAACCTAACATCGAGAACGTGAGCCACCGTATGCACCACGTGAATTTTCCATGCCTCCAACCAGAATAGAAGATTGACTGAATACTTACAGGCATCATTCGATCTGCTTCCTTCTTCGGAGCCATCTTGCTCCACTGGTGCTTCTTCGTATCCACTCCACTGAAATTATTGAGCATGAAGCACTGTACAAAGTTAACTAATTGATAAAATTTTGCGAGTCACTACTTCGAATTTATTGATGGGTCGCATGTGAAAAATAAAAATTAACATACTGTCTGCTCTGGCTATCAGTTATGCGCACGAAGAAATCGCCCGCGCAAATCATCTCATTTAGTGTACTGTTACGACCAAGCACGGAAGCTGAGCTTGACCCATAAATCGACCGACTGCAATTATCTGCATCGTGCATGATAACACGCACTGAGGCAGTACGGCACTTTGCCTCAAGTTGCAGCCTGCAGGTCAGGCGAGACTGAATACCTTCCACTGAAAAATTTATCTTTGGTACAATACATTAAATCTAAATATTTGATAAAATTAAATGAAAAGAAAAAAAATTGGAAGCGAAAAAACATGCGGTAAAGTTTTTGGCAACAGTGGTAAATATCAAGAAAGCTGAGAGACTCCCAATCATCTCTCAGCTTATTTGAGGCCAACGCTCAAATGGCATCTACGTCAATGCCAACTGTCGTAGCGAAGACACCAAAAACATTAGCGACCTCGCTAAGAACTGGGCTCACTTCAATCTTAAGGCCGAATAGTAAGCTCGGACTTGATCTACAACAAAGTTTGTAATCACTTCACAATACCAATAATAATTATAATAATAGCAGTGATCAATATGTAGATCAGTTTAAAATTTGAAACTTGAGAGACAATATTAAACATTAAATATCTTAAACAAACACACATATAAATCATTGATATACGACAAATCTTATTTGATATTCATTTCAAAGATGAGTTTATCTCATTATTTCAATGCGACAAAATGATACGACATGATTCTTGCGCGGAACTATTTGCTGCAAAATCAAATGGGGCTTATAATTTAAAAATTTTTATATCTTTGTTCATTTTTGGTGGAAGAAATTTTAAAGAAAAATGCTGAAAAGTGCGTTTTTCTTCTTTATGCATAAAACTATCTAGAAAAAAAAGCACATTTTGAAAAATTGTGTTACATCGTCAACAGTCTTCACATCGATAAAAATCTGTAGATCACATTTGACCTTTGCGAATTCGTATAATAATTCCTCCTTACGCAACAATATATTAGTTTAATTTTTGTTAAAGACAGCATAAAAAAGTAGTCTGAATAAGCACTAAAGTTTAATCATAGACATTCATGAAATTTTATTCATCACGTTGGCTTCTTAGCATATTTCACACCTTAATCTTTATTACAACCAAGTGTTACACGGAATGTGTCCAGTTTGACACGTGATCGCAT